AAAGAAAAACTCAAGAAATAATCTTTATTTATACAATTTTTTCTATCCATGTCATAAAACAAGCTTTGTAGACTCTGTAAAAATAAATTTTCTCAATGTAATTATAAAAATCAGAGAGTATTTTCAGTGGATAGATGCTCGTTCACAGTGCAGGAGGTTTTTGTATGGCTACTTAATGAGTTTGTATCACTGTGGTTCACTTTTGGTGGAGGAACCAAACTCATCGTTCACTGTAAGTACCAGAGATTTTTATTTCATACAATATATAGCAAATACAACTTTTATCAGATATTTAACAAGACTCTGATTAAATTCAGTGTTTGATTGTTGTTTTCTTGTAATTTTATGAAACTTATCTCACAATCAGAGAAGAAACTTCAAATGAATAAATATTAACTCAGTACTGCAAATAGATTTTAATTAACATAAAATAAGTTATCTATTTTTTATATATATTTTTTTTTTCATTGTAAGATTGAATATTTCGCTAATGGAAAGAAAGTTAAAAAGTAACAATCAACAGTCAAATCAGACTCTGAATGCTCAAAAATTACATTTGTGGTTACAATTTCTTCATTTATGTTAAAAATATCAAATAATTTATTGAATTATAATCTGATGTGGATTCTGTTAAACACAAAGATGTTTTTCTCAGTAAATGCAGTTTATCTTTGTGTTCACGGTTCAGTCATTTTCCATGTAGTGAAAAGGAAGTGAAAGAGACAGATGACAAAGGTTTTAACTGTATTCACATGAGTGTTTCAGCTCTGTCAGTTTCAACAGAAGAAAATCATCACAGGGACGAGTTATTCACTGTCACACATTATGAAACACATATGAAGATGTCATCAATAATCATTATCAATCAAGCTTTTTAGTCTCACTTGAATCATGTGGCTGATGGTCTGATACTGAGTGATTTATGAGTGCAACAGCAGCACAAGTTATTCTGTTTGATTTGATCAAATGTAAGAAATGAGCAGGATGTGATTTTTCTTTATTACCAAGCCTTCACTCTCATTCCTTTGTCTTTTCTCCCCCCTCTCCTCCCCCCTCTCTGTCTCCTCCAGTGGGTGTGGTGCGGCCCACCCTGACCGTCCTCCCCCCCTCCAGAGAGGAGCTGCAGCAGGACAGTGCCACACTGGTGTGTGTGGCCAGCGGGGGCTTCCCCTCAGCCTGGAGGCTGGGCTGGAAGGTGGGGGGCTGCAGCAGCTCCTCAGGGGTGTCACACAGCCTGGAGGTCCTGGGGAGGGACGGCCACTACAGCTGGAGCAGCACCCTGAGCCTCCCTGCAGACCAGTGGAGGAAGGCGGGCTCAGTGAGCTGTGAGGCCAGTCTGAATGGACAGAGCCCTGTCACTCAAAGCCTGGACCCTGACCGCTGCTCAGAGTAGAGAAACAACAGAGTCTCTGCTCAGTCAAATTCTGCTTTTACAAACAAATCCAACCTGCTGTAATTAACATGTGATCTGCTGCCATTCTGCTTTCATGTGACTTCATGTCTTTATTTGAACATTTATACATTGTTACAGTCACATGCTGTCGTCTTTGAGGTTTTGAAACAGAAATAAATATTTCATGCACTTATGTCTGGTGGTCCTTTTTTGTTCTTTCATTTCTTAAGTGTGGATGAAGTTAAAATGAATCATTGCTGGGTTTGGTTAAATATCTGCTGCTGCTTCTTTCATGGAGGAACAAAAACTGCATTGAAACCTTTTGCTGGGGAAAAGTATAGAAATCTATTATTAAAGTAAAACATGCACTGAAATAATAGAAAAAAAGCATCAACACTTTAATTTAAAGAAATAAAGAACATTATTATCAAGAAAATCACAGCAGCATAAGATTTGTAGTCGTAGTTATGTTTGGCTGACTGACTTCAACATCACTGTTAAGAACATGAGTCAGAAATATTCTACTGAGAAAGGTTAGACAGGTATAGTGTTATAATATTAAAGCTGTACAGCAAAGAAATGACCAAGTTATCCTGGTAATATGATAATATAATAATCATTTTGTATATTACAAACTCTTCATACATGAGGACTGTCCAAATGAGTCCTTTTTACTGTGTTTGGTTGATTCATGTTTGAATTTGTAAAGAGCTGGAAGAACAGCAACCAAGCCCCTGAGTACCAACATTTCTGTCAGGATTACAGCAGCAGCTGGTGAAATCATAACAAGAACTGGGAAAAGTTTATGAGATAGAGTTAACAGGAATATTCAGGAGCTTGTTAGTTTGGGCCCAACGCCCAAAAATAGCATGTAGCTCCTCTGAACACGATGACCTGAGAATCAAAAGCAAAATCCTTTGGGCCGAGAAATTAGAACAAAGTTGTCACTGGCTTTGGGGTAAATGGTTTCAGATGAAAACTGTTATTTAAAAAATCATGATGTTGTGAATTTGGGCAAAAACACCCTGTTGCAACCGAAGGCTTGATCGTTCTGAACCAAGTTTAGTGTGATAACACAGCAACGACATGCTTGGTGAGGTTACTGTCAGCTCTGTGTTCAGTGGTCTGTGTCAGAGTCTCTTCCTCTTCAGCAGCTGCAGTCGCTTCCTGCTGTAACAGCTCAGTGTCTCTGCAGTCTGACTGAGGGAGGTTTTTGTACCACCATAAATCACTGTGTGAACACACCACCACTGTGGTAACTCTGACAGTAATAAACTGCTGCATCTTCAGTCTGAACTCCACTGATGGTCAAAGTGAAGTCAGAGCTGCTTCCACTGCCACTAAACCGAGCTGGTGTTCCTGATTCACGTGTGCTCACCAATTTTATTAGGAGCTTTGGAGGCTGTCCAGATTTCTGTTGATACCAGAACATAAAATCTCCAAGATAAGAGAGTCTGTAAACAGCTTGGCTGGTCTTACAGGTGAGAGTGACAGTGGATCCTGGAGCAGATGTCACCACTGGAGGCTGAGTCACAGTCACCTGAGCGCTGCATCCTGCAGACAAAAACAAATCATTCATTTATCAGCAGAAATCAATGAGAGAAAAGGCAGCACATCATGTTTGAAATGTTGCTGAGTGAATGAACCTGTGAAACAGCAGCAGGCCAGCGTCCAGATGAGGATGGTGATGAGAGTCATGGTGCTTGTGCTTTCTGCTGTGTTGACTGACACATCTGAGTCCTGCAGTGTTGAACTCACAGGACTATAAACCTTCTCACTTCACTGGAGGATCAGCTGACCATGCAAAGCCTCCTCTCTATGGAAATCATTTCTCTGCTCTCAACACACTCAAGGCAACGTGGGACACAAAATCAGGAGGAATACTGCTTGGATTTACACCATCTATCATCTTAATGGAAAAGAAGAAAAGATTTATATTACAAGTGCAGTTGAGGATTTAAGGACAAGTTTGTGTTCACTGTGCTTGGTATGATATGTCTGTTTGTCTGCCTTTCATTTACTCACAGGGTTTAATGCAGATAAATTATATGTTTAAACTCTGCTTAATGTGAGTTTGTAAATCTACACACCTGTCATTGTGAAACAGAAACAGTAGAGGTGAGGTGGAGTGACAGTTCATCATCTTGTGGTCATTCAGATCTCATCTAAACCCCCCTTTTTTTTTTAACCCCGTTCTGTCTCATGTCTCATGAATAGGTGTATGGTGCCCCCTGTTGGCAAATGGATCCACACTGAACATAATATCAACAGACAGTATTTGATTCACTTCCCTGTTTACACACCAGAGTAGACACAACATATCGTGCTGAATCACTGCAACAACAAAGGCAAATCTCTCCTCAATGACAAAATGTAACAGGCTACATGCTTTTTTCAAAGTGAGGAAGACTGTGTTCATAATTGAACGTCTGGAGCTGTTAAAGGGACCAAAACCTGAGTGTCAGGGGCATGATGATGTGAGTTTCACTTCCCCTTTGACTGGGAGGGAACTTCAGGGAGTTTCTGTCAGGTTAGGTTTGGGGTGCTATGTTCAGGTGAGCAGTGGTGCATATCTCCTGCAATAAGTCACAGCTGCAACACAGCAATCTGTATGCAGTCTAATTTGAGGGAGGTTTTTGTACGGCTCTGTATCACTGTGTGCACAGGCCCACATACTCTCCCATACAGTAGTAATCTCCTGCATCTTCAGCCTGGAATCCACTGATGGTCAGAGTGAAGTCAGGTTCAGATCCACTGCTGCTGAAACGACTCGGAGTGCCGGACTGACGGCTGCTTGTTTTGTAAAACTGCCGATGTGCAGTGAAGCACAACAGATATCCAAATTATAATGTCTGTGGGTGAACACACACACACACACACACACACACACACACACACCTGTGAGAGTTGTCTGTGTTTCTGCCACATAAAGATGAATACTGCCCTCTTGTGTCAAAATAGGAGAATGTAAATTCATTTGTGTCACATCATGGATGGATTATAAGGTAATGGGGACCTGAATAGAGACACGTAAAAGCCCCCGCCCCCAAGTCTTTTAAGTCATTTTCTAGGACTTTGTGGGGGGTTTCTCTTTAAAGCAATGTATTTTTCATGTCTTTGAAGGTGATTTGTGTCTCTGTGGTCATTTTGTGGTTGTTTGGTGTCTTTTTGAGGTTGTGTTGTCTCTTTGTGGCTGTCTTGTGTCTCTTTGTGGTCATTATGCTTCTTTTGTAGTCTTTATGGGTGTTTTACTTTGAGGCTGACTTGTGTCTCTGTGGTCATTTAGTGTCTCTTTGTGGTCCTGTTGTCTTTCTTTGTAGTCATTTGGTGTCTCTTCAAGGTTGTGTTGTCTCTTTGTGGTCATTTTGTGTCTCTTTAAAGTTATTTTGTGGTCATTATTCATCTTGTAGTTGTTATGGTTGTTTTACAACTCTTGAAGTTGACTTGTGTCTCCTTGTGGCCATTATGCTTCTTTTTGTGGTCTTTATGGATGTTTTACGACTCTTTGAGACTGACTTGTGTCCCTTTGAGGTAGTTTTGCCTCTTTGTGGCTGTCTTGTGTCTCTTTGTGGTTGTTTGGTGTCTCTTTGAGCTTGTTTTGTCTCTTTGTGGTCATTTAGTGTTTCATTGAAGTTGTTTTGTGTCTTCTTGTGGTCATTATTCATCTTTTTGTAGTCTTAATGTTAGTTTTACAACTCTTGAGGTTTATTTGTGTCTCCTTGTGGCCATTATGCTTCTTTTTGTGGTCTTTATGGATGTTTTACGACTCTTTGAGATTGACTTGTGTCTCTTTGAGGTAGTTTTGTCTCTTTGTGGCTGTCTTGTGTCTCTTTGTGGTTGTTTGGTGTGTCTTTGAGCTTGTTTTGTCTCTTTGTGGTCATTTAGTGTTTCATTGAAGTTGTTTTGTGTCTTCTTGTGGTCATTATTCATCTTTTTGTAGTCTTAATGTTAGTTTTACAACTCTTGAGGTTCATCTGTGTCTCCTTGTGGCTATTATGCTTCTTTTTGTAGTTTCTATGGAGGTTTTATTACTCTGAGGTTGATTTGTGTCTCTTTGTGGTCCTGTTGTCTTTCTTTCTGGTCATTTTGTGTCTCTTTGTGGTCCTGTTGTCTTTCTTTCTGGTCATTTTGTGTCTCTTTGAAGTTGTTTTATGTCTTTTTTGGGTTGTCATGTGTCTCTTTGTGGTCCTGTTGTCTCTCTGTGGTCATTTTGTGTATCTTTGAAGTTGTTTTGTGTCTCCCCGTGGTCATTATTCATCCTTTTGTGGTCATTTATTGTTTTACAACTCTTTGAAGTTCATTTGTGTCTCGTTGTGGCCATTATGCTTCTTTTTATAGGCTCTATGAATGTTTCACGACTCTCTGAAGTTGATTTGTGTCTCTTTGGATTTTCTGTCTCTTTGTGGTCATCGTGTCTTTGCAGTCATTTTGTGACTAGTAGTTGTTTTGTGTCTCTTATTGGTAATTTTTTGTCTTTACATGCATCCCATTATAAATGTTTGATTTTCCAAGACGAACTTCACACACAAGCTCTGGCCCTGGGGCCCCCTGACCCCCACTAGGCCCGCTCAGCAATCCAGACACAAGCCTATTTCGGTCCACCTTTAATAATAATTTACATACTATATGGATGATATTCAACACCAGAAGCTGATGGTTTCATGATCAACAACAACACATTCATTTTAAACTCTTCAATCATTCATATTAAACACATAACTGGAATGTGTTTTCTGGTCAAAAGACACATAACAGTGTATTCCAGCCTGTTAATAGTATTTGTACACAGTATGTGTGTCAACCTGTTGAGTACCATACGAGTGGGATTTGCTGCATCATGCATGTGTTAAAGGCACATGTAGTAAATGTTTCAAATGCTTTCCAGTGATTGTCTAAACCTGCTAGAAAAAGAGGTATAAACCAAACTCATTTGGTACTCCAAACAGGTTAGAAACATCATTTCCAAATACTGCTTGACTCAGGTCTGGATCTAGATTTTCTCAGGCTTATCGATACATTTAATGGTTTGGAGTCAACGATAAAACAATTCAGGGAACTGAGGATGAATTGGTACACAAAACAAGCTGAAAAAAAACCCCACATTTGTCTTCTGTTTTGTTAGTTACAAATATAAAACAATGATATACATATGTTTTTAAGAGCTGTTAAAAAAAATCACCAATACATAATATACAAAAAATGCAAAAGTCTTCCTCCAGTTCGACACATTCAGACAGACAGATTCATACAGTATTTGCGTTGTATTCGCACCAACGCGCCGACAGTAACGTGTCTATTTTAGAAGGCACAGCTAGAGATAAACAGTACATCTAGAAGAAACATCAGAGTGTTCAGATTGGGTTTGCATAGTTTGCAGAGGAGCCTGCACAGAGAGTTTGATAGCAGAGGTGTGTGAAGTCTGAGTCAAGGTCATGATAGTGTATTTTGGTGTCTGGCGAAGATGCCACCGGAGGGTTGAACCCCACAACAGAAAAAAATCCAGACATTTTTATCTAAAATCAAAAAATAATTGAAAGTTCCATGCACAAAAACTTGAATCCCATTCCTTTGACTGGAATGGTTGAGATACAGAGTCAGACAAGGACACACTGATATGGCTTTTCCGCTGCACAAAGACTGCACTGTCCCATGCTGTGGGCCACAGCACAGCACAGGCATGCTTTAGTTTTCCATGCCCCTTGCAAAACTATTGGACCCTGTCAGAATGCACATGTGCAATCATAGCAACAGAAACCATAGAAACCAGTTGCAAAGGTTCCAGTCTCTCCACACACCAAGAGCCTCTTTATACCTGGTCTTAACAAGCATCTTGGGTGAACCGATAACAAGTGGACAGCGCTTTAATCCGATCACTCAAACCACTTGCCAAGGTGGTCTGAGACACATTTGACCACCTATCTTTTGAAGTTTAAATGCTAATGCGTCCTGGTGTCCCCCCCACAAGGACTCGCATATGTCATCAGCGCGGGACGTGGTGGTTGTTTTGGTGACAGCGCGCTAAAGCTCTCTCATTTCACAAGGAGTTTGACGAGGTGTTGCATGAACATCTATCGTTCTGCCGCACAGAAGGAGACATGTTGAATTTCGCTGACTGCGATGTCTCCAGTTGTACCGACACAACCGCTGATGTGACTAACAAGCAGCTAGCGAGAGTGTGGATGTATTGAGCGTGCACGGGACCCTATGACCTTCTAGCAAAAGTGGTGTAGGCAGGAGTAAAATCTAAACATAAGTGGTCAGCTGGAACAAGCCCCCAGGAGCAGCACAGGGCTTTGAAGTCAATTTTACATAGTGGCCAAACGTGGAATTACAGCTTCAAGGATGTCATGGGGCCCAAAAGCCTTTTTCCCACAGACTTGCAGTGCAAAGGAGACGTCTGTAAATCAGTGACTCATTTCACGATCAGGATTTGATCCATGTGGTCTGATACATTTCAAAAGTCTAGAAGATTAAATCATTTTTACACCTATTCAACTCATCTGATGGTTAAACCGGAAGTTAGCTGCCCAGCCACACTTGCCCACCTTTATTCTATAGTGTGTTTGTTTTATGGACCCTACACCGCGGCAACTGAGCTTTTTTGGCTTCAATCGCCACTGAGCAGCTGTCATAGGAATAAATGGGGCCTTGCCTCCAACACTGTATCCAGTTCTCTTAATATGTCCATGAGCTGGACCAGCTAGACACTGGTGTGACTGGCAGTGTGTCTCAGCTGTCCACTTGTGTTCAGATCACGAAAATGCATTTTGATACCAGGTATAAACAGGCTCCAATATTCATCTCTCATGGCGAACAACTTTACTTTTTTCTGCTACAATTTCTTAAAAGATTATTATTCCCAAATCATCCTGAGGCTAAAAGTAGTCCCTAACGGGCTAAGTTAGAGGAGACGTTTTTGTCTGAGTCTAAAAGTAATTCACTGAGAAAATCAGCACTAAAACTTGCTTGTATGAACTTATAAAAAGCATACTTTCATGTCTGACGAGGAAATTAAAAAAACAGCTTGACG